CAGTAGTTTGCATAGCACCTAAGAGCTTCCATCAGTCCCTCCACGACCCACAATCCTTACTGTCTCAATCATTAAGCAAAACACAGTGCAGGCACAGTCACACATCTCACCCCAAAAAAGAGCCTATCCCTCCCTGCAAGCCTGGTCTGGAACTGAGAACATAAATGAAGACCAATTGGAAGCAGCACTAATGAGCTGGAACTGAAATCACAGCATTAATGCAGCTCTGTTTCCATGACAGCCCCAGCTTCAGCAGAATTAACGATGAATGCCCTCTGTAATTGTCCACACTCCCTAAAGTGGACGGGAACTGAATGTGAAAAGCACAAGTTCCTCCCAGGAAACGTAGTTTGGGTACTTGCATGTGGAGCTGTCACGTTCCCTCTGCAAAATCTCCACGATCTGATGTTGGTAAGAGAGTAAAAAAGTGCCCAGAGAAAAAGGAGGGAGTAAAGAAAGGAATGGAGAGTTGGAGAACAAGAGTGTCAGTCATGGAGGAATTTAGTTCTGGTGAGGATGATGAGCTGAAGGCTCAGTCTCATGATGTGCTATTTTTTTTCAGTATCTGGACAGAGTTTCTCAGGACAGGGCAAGGGGCCTTGCAGAGGGTTTTGTACTGCTGCTTTGGCCTCAGTGAGACAGATAATTTTAACAGCAGAAAAAATTAGGAGCTCAATATTGAACCAAATAGTATCAACTGCACCGTTCATGTAGACCAGGCAGGCTCTACCCTTGTCAGGGTATTAAAGATAAGACTCTGGACTTTGGAGCATGTCAAGAATTTTGAAGGAAGACAGAAGGCTTTGGTGAGATGCACTGTCATTGGGCTGCTCTTCTACTGATGACAGCATAGAAAAAAAAAAAAAAAAACAGTAGCAATCTCTCCCAGTTTGAGCTAGAACAGAACTAATTCTGTGGAGTGATTTTCTGTTTCAGCTCAGTCTCTTTGTGGCTGCACTGTCTGGAGTTCAGGGCAGATCTTCACGGGCAGTGTCCGCTTCTGGCAGCGGTAACGCCCCCAGTTTGGAGCTACTACCACGGACTAGTGTGCAGAAAGGCTCCTGCTTGTACTGCTCCTGCACAGACCAAGGTCACTGCCAAATCCTGTGTGCCAGGTTGGGGTGCCAAAAGTAAATGACAGCACCTGTGGGAAAAGGCAGGACATTTGACCGTAAACTGGCCAGTGAGGTGTTACATCCCATATCCATCATATTCAGTATTAGCTGAGGGATCATAGAATCTCATAGAATGGTTTGGGTTGGAAGGGACCTTAAAGATCATCTAGTTCCAAACCCCTGCTATGGCCAGGGAAATCTTCCACTAGACCAGGTTGCTCAAAGCCCCATCCAGGCTGACCTTGAACACTTCCAGGGATGGGGCATCCACAACTTCTCTGGACAACCTGTTCCAGTGTCTCACCACCCTCACAGTGAAGAACTTGGTCCTAATTTCTAATCTAAATCTACTCTCTTCCAGATTGAAGCCATTACCCCTCACCCCATTGTTGCAAGTCCTTGTAAAATGTTCCTCCACATCTTTCTTGTAAGCCCTTCTTTAATGAGCATGCCCAATTCTTTCTCCTCAGGATTACTGTCAATCCATACTCTGTCCAGCCTGTATTTGTGCTTGGGATTTCACTGGCCCAGGTGCAGGACCTTGCACTTGGCCTTGTTGAACCTCATGAGGTTGGCTTGTGCCCACCCCTCCAGCCTGTCCAGGTCCCTCTGGATGGCCTCCCTTCCCTCCAGCGTGCCAGCCACACCACACAGCTCGGTGTCGTCAGCAAACTTGCTGAGGGTGCACTCAGTGCCACTGTCCATGTCCCCGACAGAGATGTTAAACAGGACTGGCCCCAGCACTGATCCCTGAGAAACCCCATTCATCACTGATCTCCACTTGGACATCAAGCTGTTGACTACACCTCTTTGAGTGTGGCCATCCAGCCAATTCCTTATCCACTGAGTGGTCCATCTGTCAAATCTATGTCTCTATAATTCAGAGACCAGGATGTCAGGGGTCAGGCTCTCTTATTCAATGGCTGGCATCTGAGGAGGACTCTGACCATTCTGCCTTTGATCCTCATCTGTGTGTTCCTGAGTCCAGTTCCAGAATCCAGCTCCTGAATCTGGTTCCTGTCTGCTGCTTAGTCCAATGTGGGACTTCTCCAGTGCCCGCCCATAGCATCAGTGGTGATGGGGATGTAATTGCCATCAGGGCAGGGGGTAGTGGTGGTGGTGTTTGATACCGGTTTTGCATACATTTGTATATATTTGTGTTTATTATGTCATTATTTTCATTAAAGCTGTTTTATTTTTCTTTTCCAATCTGTAAGCTTCTCTCCGTTATTCCCTTTCTCTTCCCTTTTGGGATGGGAGAGGGGTTAACAGAGAGCGCCTGTCATTTGTCTAGAGGCTGGCCCAGCCCCTAACCCTTGACACAATCACATTTATTTTCTAGGCTCCCTGAGCTCCTGCACAGTAAGGACTTCACTGGACTCACAGAGTTTCTCTGAACTTATTTTCATAGAGATGTCTGGGATTTAAACCAGACTTGCAAGTTGTTTTGCTGAAAAAAAATTCCTGGCTCTAAGTGGTACTTTTCACTGGAGATATTTCTTCCTAATGCAGGGGCCACTCCACAAAATTACTAAAATTTAACAGCCTTTGGCATTTAGAACAGTCAACAAAAACCTGCTGCTCAAAATAGCACCAGTAAGCACTTATTTCTGAAGTAATTTTGGTTTTGCAACCAGACATTTATCTGCGCCTGAACCTGCAGCACTAACCTCGCCCACAGTGAGCTATGTCTTAAGATGCCACTTTGACGTAGTGCTGAGGCTCTGAAGAAAGCCCTGGTAATTCACCTCGAGTGGAAGATCAATTCTGATGGACAATCTCTACTTACCAGTCTCTCTGCTGCCATTTAAATTGGGTTTTAGTGTATTTCTGTGAGTCTTTGTGCACAGAGGGAGGCTGTGGATTTTGGGGGTTCACAGAAGGGACTCACTGCCCTCCTGTCCTTGCCACAGATCCCAGGTGAGGTATAAGCAAAGCTGATGCATTGTGGGTTTGTTTTTTTTCTAACTCACCTCGTGGAATAAATTTCTAGCTGAAAGGAACTCATCAGTAATGCAAACAGGTAAAGGAAAAGTAATCTCCCCAGCAAAGACAAAGTGCCCTTCACTGATGAAAGGTGTTGCCATCGTGTTTGCATTCACTTGGCTCCCAGTCAATGAATAATTTTCTGGTTTTGCTGGTATTTTGGGGCTCTCACAATTTCCAATTATGGCAAAAAGCTTATGGAAAATGCCAGTGGATCCACACTTGGGGCTGGGTCCCTAAATTTTCCAAAGGCCATAGAAATAGTGGTGATTCTGCTCATGTTTCACCACCTATACTTATTTTACAATTATTTGAATGAAGGCTCAGGCTTGTGAAGGTTAATGGACTGCCTAAACTGGAAGCAGTAATTCTTTACTTATCCATAGGCTAGAGGCAGAGCTGGAGCTGGCAGGATGAGCTTCCCAACATGCCCGCGTGACCCCAGCTGTCATTTGGAGAAATCAGCTGAGGTCAGGAGTACAGTGTTGTTTAGCTTTTCCATCTCCATGGCAACTCAAGACTTGGGCATCTTCTTCTGAGCAGTTACTTCCAATTGCCTTCATCTGATTGTGGCTCTTTGATATATGAAAACCCACTTGTTAGGGATTGAGGCTACAGCACACTCCCAACTGAAAGGCAGGCTTCAGCCACGTCGCCAAGGGTGGAAAGTACATCTGCCCCAAGTTAGTCAGGTTCAGCAAATAGCCTGTTCCATGTAACACACTAATTTTTTAAATTTTTTTTTTTTCTCCCAAATGAGCTTTTTACTTTTGGACAATGAAAAATTACAAGCCTGGAAAGAGCACTTGAAAAACCTCTCGGCTGTTTTTAGCAAATTTTGTACAACTAGTTCACCAGTTCTCTAAAGTGACTAGTTCAGCAACTTAGTAGAAGATGCCAATTATATTTTTGTTTGTAAAGTATACACACACATATATATATACCCTCCTATATACAGATACAAATTTTATACAAATGTATGTATATGAAAATAGATTAAAGTAGTTTCGATGCAAGACTTTTTAGAACTAAAGTTAAAGCAACATTTTCTTTTTGTACCCTCGAAAATTCTAACTTTCATTTCTGATTAGAACCAACTTTGGCAATCTTGCACCTGGCACACATACACTCTTGTCCAGGACCAAAACTCAATAGGGAAATTTGAATGATTCAGTAGATATCAGCTGGAGATAATCTGACAAAGCTACAGAAATAGATGTGTGAGAGTATGGTGGAAAACGAGAAACAGTCTTACAAACTATTTTGGAAACAGGAAAATGCAAGGAAATGTATGACATTTTCAGGTAATTGTTCCAGAGAAGAAAACATATAAAGAGTAAGTGTAAGTTTTGAGGATAGCACCATTCTGGACTGCTGTAACTATCAGTCTATCAGTTACATTCGTTAAAGTGCAGCTCCAAAAAAAATACTTTCTTGTGCCCACCCAGACCTTTCTAAATGGCAGCACCTTAAAAGAGAATGGCTTTATTAGGAAAATGGAAACTAGAGGTACTATCCCCTAATGTCATTAAGCTGGCTATACAAGTAGTGCTACAAAACAATTCAAATTGCCAAGTAAGGGTGCTTGCAAAAGGATTTAAACAAGCAATATGCCAAATCACAAACCCTTTCAGAAAAAAATCTGCTCATAATGAATCACTGTACTGATTACAAGTTGGAGAATTTATGCTCCCACAGCCAGACATGACATTGCTACAGGTGGGGCCACATAGACAAGAAAGCTTGTGGTCTTCTCCACAAGGTTCCAGTTCTGAAAGATGACTTTCTCTTAGGGTGAACTTACTACATACACATTCAAGAGCTTTAGGTATATATGAAAGTTCTTATCACAGGTAGGATGAGGAATTCTTGCAGATATGTATAGCAGAGCCTGTGGTCCTAGGCCTTGGTGACGTGACTACCATGCATGATCTCACCAAAGAGGTACCACAACTCATCCCGTGGAACCTGCTCAGGGGAACAGAACACATCACTGAATAAAACAGGTCAGCTTTCTAAAGGAAAAACCAAAGCTGCTCAGAATAAATGCTGTTAAAAGAAACAAAAGAAATTTAAACATTTCTTTTCAGAAAGCTTCATGGTTATATATTTGCATTGCTGGTTTTGTTTGTTTAGCAAATAACTACACTGAAATAGATTTGTTTCAATCCAGTGAGAGGTATCTATAAATATCTGAGTGAAAATACAAAGTTTGTGACTAAAATTCAGTAAAATTCAGTGTAAAGCATACGTCTGAGCGGTAGGTCATGTTTTTTACCTTATCCCTTATGAAAAGCTTTTAAGAGAAAAGTACGTTTTCTAAACACCGCAGGACGTAAGAGAACATAACTCATTAACAAGCATATGTATTTTCCCATACAGATCTTTAAAAATATAATCCTCCTGAGTGACAGGAAGGTAACCCACTGTGCCTTTCTCAGAGGACAAATAAAAAACTTGTATCTGATTGCAGCCTTTTATGTGTCCTCACTAGGAAATGCTCCATAACTGAAATCCTACATTATTTGAATTTGGGAAGTATTCAAGAACTTTGGTAAAAAATTTATTAATATTAATCCTGTTACTACCACATCACATAAGCATTATGTTTATTGTAGAACTCTAGTCAAATATGCCACTGTTCTAGCATATGATTAACAGTTGTAACACATTTTATTCAATCAACTACTGTCTTTCTCTTTTATTTGGCTTCACAGAGTTTGAAGCTTCTTTTTGCCACCCTTTGGTTTGCAAAATATGCCAGTTTGTGATGAAGCCTTCTGAGACAGGAACCTCTACCACCTTGGGAGCAGTATTTGCTTCCTAACAGTTCAAGTAAAAACTTAATTATAGGCTTTAAATACTGCATGATGTGACAGGACAGAACAGAACAAGTAAAATGGCTGCAGCTATTCCAGCCTGCTTGCTACTAGCTTATTTCAATTTGAAAACATGAAACTCTAATCTATCTTTCTTTTAAACTGGTTTGAAGAGAATGAAAACAGGAAAAAAAAAAAAAAAGCCACTGGAATACAACAACAGGCAATGCTGCATGGCAGTGATGAGAAGCCTGAACAGAGAGTCTGTGTGAAAAACACCAGCAACGTGGGTTTAGAATGAAACATTTTTGCATTAGAATCTCTTTGTTGACAACAGACACCCATTTAATGTTTTTCTAATATCCTATATATATATATTTATCTCAAAAAAAATGGCTTTTTCATTTGTCTTTTAGAAGAGTATACCACCATTCTAACTCGGAACAAGCTCATTCAGCTGTACACTTCTGCGACGGTGATTACACTGGGATCATCAAAGCATGTGATATAAAAGGACCATTTTTGCTAGTGTGAGAAAACTGAGGGGTTTGCGCTATAAATATTTTTGACTGTTGGATCTGCATAATTGCTGTTGTACTCTATAGAAAAGTGGCCTGTTGTACTAAAGAATCATGGAACCATTCCTCAGTGGATGGGTGTGGTAAGGACGGAATCCACATCTCCCTCAAAACATCAACTCTATCAGCGTGTGTGTGGGAATCAGAAGGCAGAGGGGAAGAGCAGGACAGTGAGGTAGGATCAGGCATTCTGCACTTCACCTGAGGAGACCTCAATTATCTGAGGTCAGCAAGGTGGAGTTTGCATTAGCAAGAAGAAAATGGGTTAAGTCGAAATGAGATGCAAAAAGATTAAATATTCACAGGGAAGCACTGTAAATTGGTACAAGTGATGATGGAATTAGGGCAATTGCCAGTAGCTGATGGGATAGCTCAAGTTTCCCAGTTTATGCTTTCTGGTCAATCTCTAATTGTCTTAAACAAAGCTGTCCCCAAAGGACATTCAATTGGGAGATTTTATATATATGCATATATATGCATACACACTCACACAAAGTCATATGCATGTATATATGCATACAAAGTCACGTTTTAAAAAAAATATTATCTCTTTTCTCTCTCCAATACCTATGTAAAAAAAAAGAATGCTTTCAAAGCCTCAGGGTAATGAATCACTAACCAATATAATAAGAACGGCCAATAAGCAATATTATCAAGAGAAGAAATATTTCTTGCTCTTACAGACCTTTCTAGTCCTCCCTGCCATCAGAATCCTCCCTCTCATTAATTAGAAAAAATTAATTATCCAGCTTATGAATTGTGGTTTGAAAGGAACAGAGCTTAAAGCAGCAAGATTTATTAGCAAAGAAAACTAAGGGTTGGAATAAGCTGATTTTATAGACTTGTTTTCTAAATGGGAAGCATTATTAAATCATCACTATAAAATTAAGCAATTATTTCACTATGACATCAAGTACCACAGAAGGAAAAACAGTTTCATGTTCTATTAGCTAAATAAAGGTCAGTAAGGGTAAAAAGAAAAAAAAGGAAAATTAATTTCTAAGAGTAAATACAAGCTGGGAGATAAGGATAAAACTGAATCATCAAAGGGTGACATTTCCCTCTCCTCCTTTATAAATATGTCCTACATTTCTTTAAATTACTAAAATGGGAAGACTATCCGATATCATTCAGTAATAAATAATTAGTGTTTTTATTAGGCATTTCATATACAGTACTTACACAAATGACCTCAACTGAATATTTAAACTATACAAGTGTGAAATATGCTGTAGCTCAGAAATAAAATCACTCATCTACCCTTAACTTTGACTCAAGGGGAACATTACTGAGAAAGTCACAACAAGGTGGCATCCTTAATACATAATAATGACACATGCAGGAAATGCACCATTATTTATACATGTGACGTGCTGTAAATTGCTTCCATCATCAGAACTAATTGTAGTGATTATTAATGCAGTATTATGAACTGTCAGAATTGCTGTATGTAATTACATTTGTGCAAATGCTTCATTACCTGCCTAATGAATTTGGCATATATGCACATGTAAACCACTGTTTTTGTTAACATAATGAAGGGCATTTTTTTCCCCCCTTAGCTACTGATGTGGAACTGGTTTGACTTACATTACAAAGTTCAAGCATCCACTGCCAGGAAAAAAAATCCACACCCCACACCCCTCCCCACTTTGATCTGGTTTATTTTCATACTCGGCAACAGCATTGTGTAATTCCAGCTACTTAAGTAACAGCTTCAGATTAAGAATTGTATCCCACTTACCCAGTATAAACAGCTGTTTGTGTTGAAATGACCTTGGTGTTTGGTTACCTGACCACTACTTCTTACCTTGGTATGGGTCTCTAGCTGGTTGCAGAGGACAGCGATGCAGATGGTGAGATCTCTAGTACTGAATGGGTTCCTTCTATTCCAGCCTTAAGGGCCAAACTTCAGTCTCCCAGCAATGCAAGTGTGAAAATAGCATGGGGAAAAAAGGATGTTTACAAATTCCCTTTCTTTGCTACATCCTTCAAGGATATCCAGCCAAAGGAAAAAGGAATACATTTATCTAGGTAATAACTGGCAGTGTTATCGACAGCTGCCCCTGTCTCAGCTGCCAAAAGGGAGCACTCACAAGCCTGGAGTTTGAGAGAGAGTGAGAAACAGGTTTCTTAGTCATCAGTGACTATCAGGCAGTATTTTTTGCAGTAATTCACAGATGCAAAATTGTTGATGACTTCCAAATAGCCCTAGGGAAACTAGGTTAGAACTGTTGTGCTACTGAATCCAACAAAAACAGGGACTTTAAGTAGAACTCCATAAACATTACTCAGATAATAACTACAGTTTCTTAGCATAAATCATCCATAGACTTTATCCCTAGTAGAAAATTTGCCAGATTAGTACTTATGAAAAAGCATACTAGTTCCCCAAATTTTACAGTTTCTCAGAGAGTCATGTTTGAAATGGACGGCTTGTTTGTTCATTTGTTTTTTTGCCTCCTTTGTAGTGTTAGCAGACAATCTCAGCAAGATGAGACTCTGCACAGGGATTCAGCTGTTTTTTAAATTGCTGAGACAACTATTTGTCATTTTACTATAAAACTTGTAGAAATTTATTCTTAATTCTTTGACAATTTTCTATATTCTATCTTTTTGTTTAAAAAGTAATTGACATAACAAACATATTTTTGATACCCATAAAAACATAGACGTGTGGAATGAACTTCAGAGGGATAAACTGTTGGCTGTCAAAAGGAAACAGGTAATCTTGAATTGAACAACAGATATGAAAGTCTGAGGAACAGTGAAGAATCTTGTGTCTGACAAAAAAACAGTCCTCGTGAAGTCATAATCCTGAATTTAACCATGAGAAATACAACGTAAGCTTCCATCCTGAAGAAAATGAAAAAAACCATGAAATATATTCCACTTGGATTAGGCACAGTTTGATTTTCAAAAAACTTAAAATACCTTAACTACAAACATATCAAAGACAGTGTCTGCAGAGGAATTTGTAGTAAGCCACAAACATCCATGTCTCAAAATAATGAGCCAGGTTTTCTAAGCATCAAGCTTAGAAATTAGGTGATTAAAATACATACATATATAGACAGTTCTTGAACAGAACACAGCCTGAAGTGGGAAAACATTGTGTGTTAATTGCCTTTATTAAAAACTTTGTCTAGCCTTAGCTTCCCATTAAGAATATTCTTATAATAAAATTATTTAAAAGAAAGAAAAAAGATGCTCTGTTAATAGTTGTCTGTTTAGCTACAAACCCACAGTCAGTCTACCTTTCTAACAGCTACCTCTCTGAATCACCTCCTACCATCTAAACCAATCCATCCATAGCCAAGGTAGCTTTGACACAGCTCCTTTAGAGCACATCTCTTTTTTTTTTCTGGCCATTGGTTAGCAGAGTTCCCTTTAAAAGCAACTCTTACCATTTCCACATCCAAGCTCTGCCTTCATGCCCCCTGTGCTGAAATAAAGACACAGTAATGCATTGCTGGAAGGCTAAAGGGTACAGTTACAGCTGACATGAATAAGCTTGCTGCTCCAGCATTTTCACTGCTGCCAGGAAGCTGAACTTGAAGATCTGTCTACAAGCTCCTTGGGGTAACAGACAGTGATAACCAGGGACCTGGAGGGGAGGAGGTTACGCACATACAGTGACACTCCTGCCCTCCACGCCCTCACGCCTTCTTTCTCCTGTTACATTTCACCCACCATGCAGCTCTGCGGAACCTCACTCAGGGAAAAAGTGGAAGGCAAAACAACAAACTGCTCATAAGCCTTGCTCATGGATTCCTTTCTTTGTGCTTAATTACAGGAATTCACATACACAGGGTACTGAGCCACTGCCTGAACATCTGAGTACATTAAATCCACTCTGTGGGAGAATGGACATAGTCAAACCGAAGTTCACGAGTACCATCAAAGGAAAGATCTCTGACTATAGCACAGACAGCTTTTTTTCACAGAAGTGCAGCACTGGCTAAAGCTGAGATGATAAATGCACTTTTTCCTATCTTTGTAACCATTACGTATGTATGTCTATATTGAATAATACAAATGTCCACATTATTATCACACCTCTCCTCCTGCCCAACATTGGTGGGAAACACAGAGGCAGCACCGGACACAGAGGGCTGGCGCTCTGCGGCTGCCAGGTTAGTGTGGAAGCACAAAAATCCCAAAGTTCTAGTCTCCTACAAAGCAGTCATCAGTGTTACACCACCTGCCCCCATGGGAAGGAGTAATTCAAAAGAATGACAAAGGAAGCACATCTTGATTTTACCTGGTCAAAACTGTAGGGAGCAGCATGTAAATTAGCCAGCAGCCCTGCAGGATCTTCACTGGTAATTTTAATCAAGTTTTCTAGTATTCCTTGAGGAATGATGTGCTTTTCTGGGGTTGGAGCTAGAGCAGTGCTAATGAAGATGTGGAAATCAGGATGACTCTCTTCACTGTATCCCTCAAGGAGTTCTTCCGAGGCTCCTAGCCACTTGGCTGCTAGATGAATATTCTGCTGAAAAACAGCTAATATGTTTATTGTGAGAAAACAATTAAATTTGTTATCCATATATCCTTTTATATATATCCTTTCACTATAAAGCCATATTGTTATTGTGGCTTTATATTGAAAAATAGTTAAGTTACTTAATAAAAGCATCATTTTATTATTATATAAATTGACAATATAGCTAATAAACTTTAGGATTCTTAGCTACTGTCATTTCAGGCTAGCATGACAAGCTTACTTGTGCCAAATCTGGTTAAAGAATTCTTAAAGTATCACTGTCCATGAAGAGGTCAGTTTGTCCATGTTTGCACAGCATCTAGCACACTAAGGCCCTTACTAATCTCATGGTGATTTTATTTCAGCCAGCAGACAACGCGGAGTCATTTGTTGCAGGCAGCCTGGCTGATAGCCAAATGTTGCTGAGGTTAAAACCAGAAGAGGAAGGAATCACCCCATCCTCACGACCTCCTTAATATTAACGCCTGGAACACGCATTTCTTGTATGGCTTCCGGGCAACCCAGGAGTTGTTGCAAATATCTACTGACTCTTTAGCATAAAGCGGTGGGAGAGGAGCACCTCCATCCAGTGGCCTGAACAATTGCAGTGCTGCTGTTCTCTCTCTCCGTTACTGCGCTGGGAACCGCGGCATCTCAGGGCATTGCACGGCTCCTTTTGTCCCCTGCAGCCTGACTTCTCGGTCCTTACAATGATGGCCAAAGCTGCAGCTGCTATCTCAGAAGAGCAGCACTCTAGGGCTAATTATACAGCTTCCCAAGGGGGAACCAGACCCATTTCATTACAGTCTCCATTAAGGCCCACTGAAGGGAGCAGGAGCTCTTAATTACGTGGGGAAGCGTACGCCTGAGGGCAGTCCTACCTACCCACCAGAGGCTTTCTATTCTTTCTCCCCAGTTCCTCCTGGGAGGGTGAAAGTGTTCAGCAAAACATGACAAACTATTAGTATGATGTTTATCCTGTTACTATTAAAAGCAAAAGCAGAAAGGGACATGATTATTAGCCATTTAAAAGTTTTGCTGTAATCCACCGCTATTTTGTTTGTGTTCTGGGAATATCCCTCCAACTGAGGGGACAGTCCCCATCAGAGGGGCTATTTGACACTCACTTGGAGAAGAGTCCAATGGCCATGTCTGCCAGCCTTCTCCAGTGCCTTCTCTGCAACCATCTCCTGCCCTTGTCCTAGGGAGATGTTACAAAATCTTCCAGAGCCTATAGTGAACCCCAGCTTTTTGCCTGTAAAAGAAATCATTGTGGAAGGGTGAGTGACAGAGGGGGAGGAGAAAGGAAAATTAGCAGAGCAGAAAGCAAAAAGAATGATAATGCCCCCATTGATTTCACTATCACTTGTGCAATGCATATTACTTCTTCTGAAGCACTTCACTAAACCCTTACAATTTCAACAAGCAAAATTGCGAGCTCTCAACAGTGGCCTTATTGCTGGTATTAGAAAAAGCCTGTAGAAATCGTTTCCCTTGGTTTTAAGATAATGAACCTTTTGACATTTTGATAGATGCTCGGCATTGTTACTGAGCTTTAGAAACTCTTACAGGGGGTACAGAGCAATTCCCTTATGAAAAAGGGAGCAACATGTGGTAGATATCACATCAGTTTTTTAACTGATTGGTTCAGTGGGTAAATGCACAAGCCTCTCACCTTGTGAGGCCCGAGTTTAAATTGAGCACAGTGAGGTCACAGCTGTATTAACCTGGTATTCTCACCATTGTCTGTGGGGAATAGTAATCCTAAGTATAAAGCCACAGAGCCCTATACAATTGAATATAGTTTGTATAATGACCATTATTTAGTCACAGGGGGCACAAGATTACATGAGCATGGAGAAAATTGCCCTCTGGCCCTCATCTAGTCAAAAGGTAGAAAACAGTACAAAGGAAACCTGCATTATGCCAAACAGAAGAATGCTCAGTCTAAAAATTTCTTCATACTGTAGTGGTTATGGCCTTACACTTTTCATTCACCCTATTAATTTACCATGAATATGGTGGGGGTGGAAAAAACTTTAGAACTTGAATCTTCTGCTGAAAATAAACCGTGCCCAACTTTCCCATAGTAATGGGTACTTCATTGCTGTGCAGATGATTCCAGAAGGCTTTGTTCTGCTTAGGTAAAAATAGAACCATACACAAATGTACGTGTAGGCACCTACACACAAGTGTGTAACGGTATATGGATTTATCTATATTTCTAGCCCTGCATAGTCCATTTCACTTTCAAGCTCAATTTTTCTTTCTTTAATGGGAGGACAGTTGAGAGGTCCTTGTGCCAGAAGCAAATAAGAGACTTCTCTAGGGTCTCAATATCTTCAAGTGGGTCTACTCATGGAAACAGAATTAAAAACACTGGAGTGGCTGGACTGTTTCTTCATAGGATTTTGCTAAGTCCATACTTGTATTTTCCACTTTTCTGTACATATGAAAAAAAATGCACTAAACACCAAAACCATTCCCCTTATACAAGCTTCAAGCCTGCACCATTCTCAGACTTGAGTAGCTGACAGAGATGGTATAACAGTTGTTTCATCAAATAAATTGTCAGGGAAATGAAGCAAAGGCAATAAGGGGAGGCAAGTGTTGAAGAAAGACAGAAAGCAATCATTTGCCTTTCTCTGTGGGATAGGGGCCACATGACAGAAAACAGCAACTTCTGAGTTAAAAGGGCCCCTTCAATAACTAAGTCCAAGAATTCATTACCTGCAGGCAATACTGCCACAGAACGCCAGGGCGGCTGGGAAGGATAAACAGCCAGGACACAAAACCTGCATTCTCAGAAGGCATGTAAATGAGTGAAAGCTGTGATGGTAGGGTATGCAGGTTTGGGTCTATGAGACCACCACTTCAGACCAAAAGATTAAAACAGTGCAACCAGAAAACAACTGGGAAGACTGGTAAGTATCCATAACAGAGTCTTTCTTCGTATCACAGAATTTTAAAGAAGGGAGCCATGAAAAATTGTCATCTTGTGGCATTAGCTCCCAGACCTGACACTGAGAAATAACACTGAGAATTACACTTTTAACCTTTAACAGCATAGCTTCCTATGTTTCTGTTTATTAAGGAGCATTCTTCTCAGGGTATCTATATGCAAACTAAAAGAAATCACAAGCATTGTTCTCCAAATACGATGTGCCTCATGTCTCACTGCACTACCTCTTCATAAACTCTTCACCAGCAGAACAGGATGGGAAGGAGCCAGTTATTGATTTCCAATTCTGGTTGATCACTAAGTTTTATAATTTCCTTGCTTGCCTCTTAAGATCTGTTTTCTCCATGTTGACACATACAAACCACCCTCACACACACTTGCCCCAAAAGACACACCATCAGATTTCATACCTAAGAGCATACATCAATCTGTCCAGACAAAGTGCCCTCCGTAGGATTAGTTTCTGAAGAGAGCTTTTCTTTGTCCATTTCTGAAGGAGCTTTTCCTTTTCTGGACATTCTGAGTGCACCCACTTCTTTCACCTCTCAGCAGATCTTTAAATGTCTTTACCTAACCCCCTGAACACATCTGTCACTGCCACAGCTTGGAAGCATGCCAAAGACATAAATACAGATGTTAAATCTTCTGAGTGAAGACTGAAATGGGAAAACAAATACTAATACTTTTAGTGGTATGTAAAATAAATACAGTTTAACCATTTACAAGGGACCCAGAATTTACCTTAAAATACTAAATTACATACATATATATGTATACACACACACACAAATAATATTATTTATAAGAGTTCATTATGGTCACTATTGCCATACTGTCTGTTTAACATTAAGATATGACAAACTGGAAACCGTGTATGGAACATTTACTATTGTAAGGAGTGGTATGAAGATAAAAACTGTATTTTCAGGTGACTGGAAAAATGATGGTAAAACAGAATTTTCTCACAAAGCACAGTACATGATGCTACAGAAAAATATGCTCAAAAAGCAAAGACAACGCCTCTTTGAAAGCATCACTAGTTCTACTAAAAATTACAGTGGAATGGATGACTTTATCTGAAATTGTCTAGTTGTAGCATGCCTCCAGAAATAACTTCAAAATAGATTTAGAACTGAAAAGCAATTTTCCCAACCTACCCTTAATGGCACTCCTGACTGAGTACTCATGAAGTCAGCAGAACTCTTGTAAGTGTGTTCAGCTCTGAATCAAAGAAGGGAATCCAGTTCAAGGAGTTCTATCTCTTTACTTCTTAGAAGAATCTTGACAGCATACAAAATTGAAAAAGGTCATCAGACTTGCTTCAGAACCACTTCTGCCTTAAAGTATTCCCTGCTCAAAGCATTACTGAGTAGGGAGCACAAAGTGACAGGAATTACTACAGCCGTATTGTTTGAAAAGCTGATGTAAGAATTTACACAGTGTTTTAATGATATTTTAAAATATTTACTTGAAATCTAATGCAAATGGAATGATATTCACAGATATGAGCTGCTAAAGAGTGTGATAACTTTTTTCAAAACCACTCCTGTACATGCATAGAGCTGAATGTTACCTGAAAATCAAACGCAACCTCTCAGTCAAAACTTTTGCAGAAAATATAACAGAATTCATACATATAACTTATATATAAAATTAATATATATAATACATATTTTTATATGTATGACATACACATAATATGTATATGTACTGAAGGACAAATTTACCCAAATTTTAAGATGAACTAACCAACAAGAGCAGTTACTTTTCTTTAGCTCATGAAAACATAATGAAATATAAAAATGTAATTCTTGCACACTTAAGTTAACCTTGGATAAACTCGTCCACAAATTATTTTGTACTAATACTACTGAAAAAGTACAGATTTCTCAATTCCAACTACTAATTTCTATGTATCATTTTCCCGTCTCTGAAGATAGAAGAACAAATAGTGCTCAGCAGTTTCCATTGCCATTCTAAGCCCTCCTCGCTGCAAGCTGTCACAAAGCTGTGGGAAACTTGTAAATCCTGAGTGCATTTTGTTTGGGTTTATTTTTGTGGGGGTTGTTTTATACTGAATCAGTTCTGGCACCTGAGCTGTGTGCATGCTGAAGAAAACTCCTCAGATCCTATGAGGGGTTTTCTATTTCTTTTATCACTTTAACCACACATAGTGCAAAAAGGAGAGACCTTTGCCACAATACCATATATTCTCTCTCCTTTCTGATATAAATACATCTGTCTTCCTCCATTAAAAGCCCTCTCTCATTCCATCAAAAAATGTATTTAACAAATCGGAAGTGTATTGTGCCCTTTACTCTGGTTTCTGTCTACTCAGTAATCGTGATTGAGTTTATTTTTCAGTTGCCATACAGATTTCCATTCTTCACGATCTATTCCAGTACCACTGCTACGAAAAAGACAAAAATTAAGCAACAAAGGGCTAGAAACGTAGGTGATAGGAATAAATCCATCTGTGCCACAATGCAGAGAAATTATCATCAGTTTTATTTCCCCTCTTTTTTTATTTTCCTTTCTCTTCCAGATATTTCTGTCTGCTCTTTACTGCCATTTATACACTGTGTAGAGTGATTTCTTTTTTCCTACTCAGCCTCAAATCAGACTCTTCAATTTATAGTTTGTACTGTCTTCTCAAATTGTCAGTTTCTAGTTTAATACCTACTTCTGTTACTGATCAGCTCTATGATACTGCCTCTTTTGGAGCAAGTTCTTCAGGGCAAAACCTGCCACCCAGTGAGCCCTGCGACAGCTGAGCCCTGACTTGTTCCAGGGCATAGAGATACTAAAATTAAAAGGAAAAATAACAGCCTGAATGTGATATGGATATGTATTATTTACTGAATTCTTATGTTACATACCACCTGAATTTCAACCCTAATTGTCTAACCACAAGCAGCTAAGTCATGCTATTTCTCCTCAGTGTAGCTTCATAACATCATCGCAGCATTTTAAATTAAAAGAATTACATAAAAAGCATATTTGGAATTTCTGCAATTATTATCAACAGTGAAGCAGCAGCCACACTGTGAAAAATGGCACAGCCATAAGGTAACAAGATAACTTGTTTGGGCAGAGGCACCACCTTCTAGTGAAGAAACAGCAAACCCAGTAAACTTCAGCATCACCAATCTGAAAATTTTTCCTCACGTGAAAAGTTGTTTGAAGCAAGGAAGTGAGCTTATCCTTTTGAATAGGTCCTTGGCTTGTGAACAGGAAGCTTGAATATGCGACAGCTCCTGTCAGGTTAGATACATGACACTGAATATCCCCCAATTTTTCAGCCTGCTTAATTGCTCTGTGGAAGACTGCACTGAAGGCCTGAAAATAAGTACTTTCATTCTTACTTATTTTAATTCTGCTTTTTTGCTTTTCTGTGTGTAAGATAAATTTTTAACGTAGGCTTCTAAGAAAATCTGGCCTAAGCAGTCTAAAATGCAAGATACTTCTGCCAAGAGGCTTTTGAGGACTTTCTGCAAACCAGGGTTGACGGCTACAAATGGCAATACTCTTCTGCTTCCTTATTTAACTCAGCAGGCAGAACCTCTCACTTGAGCAAGCTGGTAATTTTGTAGTGGGTGATCTCCATTCTTCATAGCATCAAGATCATTTGGTAGTTTTGCCAAAGTGAACTATTTATACAGAAACCCTCAAAACTCTTTCTGCCTGACCCTGTAAGATAGCTTAACACAAGGAAGGTAAACTTTACAAGCACAGTCAGGCAACACCATCAGAATGGAGACAGTTGACAGAGAGACCCACGGGAATGTATCATGTTATGGACCAGGAGGTCCTTACTTCTTCTCAGACACACAGTCCTGCAACGTAATCATCTGGTTTAAGTAATAATTCACATATTTGGAATCACTGCCAGAATTCTGCTCCTTGCACTTTGAAAGCAAATCAACAAGACTAATTTTTACCTTCAGTGAAAACTGGTAGATAGGTTGATGCTGCATGTTCCCTTGTCATGTTATTCTGAGTTTCATTTTCTTTGGCTTCAGCTATCTATAGGATGACAGTTGTCTCAGTTATTTTTTAATGTGTCATGCTTATCCCAACACATTCCTATCTGTAAAAACAAAAATATGGATATTCTCTAGCAAAATGACTTTATTTCAGACAGTAGCAAATATGTAAGGTAAGCAAGCTTCTTATCTCAGACAAACGTTAGGGAATAACTTCTCTGCACAAATATGCCTGTTCACCTATGGAAACATGGCAGTCATATATGAATACATTTGTTCATATTTCATGGTGATACTTCTTCCATGAGTATTAACTCAAGCAACTAAGCCAAAAGGAAAAAAATGAATATGTGACAACTACATACCATAGATATGAAACTATGAACACGTGGGTGGACAGCCCTTGTTGGACAGACAGGAATTTGACTATTCCTAGTTTGTAGAAATGTTT